TTAACAAATAAGGGAACCACCCTAATAGAGATCTTTAAAATAGCAAAATATATATTACTTTGATAATTCTATACATCCCTTATTCCAATGCTTCCTTTACGAACTTCACTTAGCTCCACAGTGCAAAGATAACCATATCCTTTTCAAGTTGCATCTGATTAAAGCATAACAATAATTTAAAATACAAATGTTTAATAGAAAATATGTGGATATTGTTAATATACCTTTTCATTTACCTGAAAAGGAATGTTAACTATGATTTTTTTCCATGAGCTCTCGAAAATTTTATATAGTGCCAAAAATAGGTACTTATGTGACAACTTGTAACCCCAAGTGTTAAATCCATTCAAAATTTACCTTAGCTAAAATTATCATTATTAGTGAAAAAAATACTGTAGGATAGATAACTATGAGGACATGCATAAAGCATCGGTGGTGTAGCGTTACTTACCTTAACCGGGGGGCCGGTCGCGGTCCTCTCTTCAAGCCGCGCGCGGTCCTGCGGCTGCACGAGCCGCGCGCGGCTCATCCAACTGCTTTGGATGGAAGGCGGGCAGTGACCGCGTGAGGCGGTCACGTGTCCCGCCTGAAACTAAGAGCGCGCCGCGAGTCTCGGGCGCGCTCTTAAAGAGACAGTGGGAGCCTAATTGCCAAAAGGCTCCCATTGGCTCCTGTCATACCACACTCCCTGTACAATTACCTATAGGGGGTGTGGAAGTGACAGGAGCCAATCACTTTCGTTTTAAAGCTATTTAAACTTACCTTTTTCCCTTAGCTCGTTGCCCTATCGTGGTTTCTGTTTCAGTTCCCTTTAGCGCTTGTGGTGTTCAGTTGTGTTTTCTCGTATTGACTTTGGCTTCGTATTCTGACTTCGTTTTCGCTTTATCCTTATCTGTACTGTTTGCCGGCTTGCTGTTTTCCGTGTACCAGACCCCGGCTTGTCCTAGTTTACGCTGTCTCTCTGTGCCCTTGACCTCGGTTTGTTCCTGGCTCTGTCTCCTCTCATATACGTCGAGTCCGGCCATTCTAAGGTCCGGTAGACGTATCTCTCCTCTGTATTTGCCTCTGTTTAGCTGGATCCTGCGTGTAGGGGTATATTCTCGTTACATTACGATAGGGCCATGGACCCCGCAGATTTAGCTCAACAGATGGCGTCCCATGAGGCAAGATTTGTAGAGCAGGATCACCGTATGGATCAAATAGCTCAGGCTCTCCAGACGCTCCTAGCTAGAACCGTTCCAGCAACTACACCTAACCCTCCTACGCCCCTTCTCCCTGAAGTATCTACTTTGCCTAATACTTCGGCCCATTTAACACCTCCTCCTAGGTATGGAGGGGACTCTAAGACTTGCAGAGGGTTTATTAATCAGATTGAATTTCACTTCGAAATGTATCCACGTTCATTTCCCACAGAGAGGTCTAAGGTTGGGTTCTTTATGCACCAACTTACCGATAAGGCACTTGAGTGGGCAAATCCTATTTGGGAAGCTAATGGACCTATGGTACATGATTTCAACAGTTTTCTTACGGCTTTTCGTAGAACTTTTGACACAATGAAAAGGTCAAAGAATGCCGCGAGAGCATTAATGAGAATTAAACAGGGTTCTAGGTCTGTGGCTGATTATGCTATTCAGTTTCGCACTCTTGCTTCGCAGGTAGATTGGACCAACAATGGGTTAACTACTGCCTTTATGGAAGGTTTGTCAGATACGATATTGGATGAGGTAGCAGCTAAGGAGCTTCCTATTGCCTTAGAGGACCTTATCGATTACCTCATTGATATTGATAATAGAATTCGTGACAGGCTCTATACCAAGAACAGGAATAGACGTTTTGTTACACCCATTAACCCCAGAGTTAATATACCAGAGAGTGTTAAAGTGTCTGAGGAGGAACCTATGCAATTAGGGGTTGCCAAACTCTCTGATACTGAGAAATTACATAGGAGAAGGGAGGGACTCTGCCTATACTGTGGTAGGAGAGACCATATGGTAAAGGAATGTCCTTTACTCCCGGAAAACTCTCGCACCTAAGACCTTATAGGGGACTGGCCTTGGGTGTGATATCTAAGTCTCCTAAATTGCCTCCTAACCGCTTGCTTCTCCCGGTTTCTTTATATATGGGAGAGATTTGTATAGTTGACAACATATATGCTCTGGTTGACTCTGGGGCAGCTGAAAATTTTATAGACTCTGGCTTTATAAAGAGAAACAACATTCCCATCAGAGAGAAGGAGATACCCTTGGCCGTTGAGGCCATAGATGGTAGACCATTAAGTTCTCCAGTTGTTACTCATGAGACTGTACCATTACACATGTACACAGGGGTTTTACACTATGAAACCATTCGATTCCAGGTCATCACCTCTCCCTCTTCACAGTTAGTATTAGGGTATCCATGGTTACGTGCTCACAATCCCATTTTTGACTGGGAGACAGGGCAAATAAAATCATGGAGTGAGGCCTGCCACGAGTCTTGTACGTTGGAAGTCACACCTTTGAATTCTATTGAGGTACCTACCAGTCCTCCTTTGTCTACGGTTATACCCCCTCAGTACTTATCTCTAAAGACTGTTTTCGATAAAAGGGAGGCTGAGAAATTACCGCCTCACAGACCCTATGATTGCGCTATTGACTTGTTGCCTGGCACTATACCTCCAAAGGGCAGGGTGTACCCCTTATCGGTTCAAGAAAACCGTGTCATGGAGGAGTACATCAAGGAATCACTAGAAAAAGGGTTTATTAGGAGATCCTCTTCTCCAGCTGGAGCAGGGTTCTTCTTTGTATCGAAGAAAGAAGGTGATTTAAGACCGTGTATAGATTATAGAGGTCTAAACAAAATCACTATCAAAAATGCATACCCTATACCATGGGTCGTCAACCTGGTCCCTACCGCCCACTAGTGGGCGTTTTAGGATTCCAGGTGGGCGGTAGGGATTTCTGAGGCTAAATCCTCTTTTTAAGAGGATTTCTCCTTTTGGGCGGGCGCGAGCGGCTCTGCATGCGCAAGTCTTCAGTGACCGGCAGGAGGAAGCGCTCCCTCCTGCCAGGCCACCTTCTGGACCCCCCGGCATGGCAGCGTTCTAATCAGTCGCGGCGAGGGAGCTCTAACCTCTCTGCTCTGCTCCCTCGCGCGATGTTTGCTGATGCCGCGGGAGCCGGAATATGATGTCATATTCCGGCTCCCGGCATCCGTAGACAGTCCGCGAGGGAGCAGAGCAGAGAGGTTAGAGCTCCCTCGCTGCGTCTGATTAGCCGCCCGCCTAAGTGAAGCCCCACTGGACCCCAGGGACAGATCCACACCAGCTCTCCAGGTAGGGAGGCTGTGTGGATATTTAATATTAATAATTTGTGTGTATATGTGTTTGTCTCTAAGTGTATGTGTGTGTGTGTCTGTAAGTGTATGTGTGTGTGTGTCTGTAAGTGTATGTGTGTGTGTCTGTAAGTGTATGTGTGTGTGTGTGTGTGTGTGTGTGTGTGTCTGTAAGTATATGTGTCTGTGTCTGTAAGTGTATGTGTCTGTGTCTGTAAGTGTATGTGTGTCTGTGGGTCTGTCTGTGTATGTGTGAGTGTCTGTAAGTGCATGTGTGAGTATGTGTATATTTGTGTGTATGTGTTTCTATGTGAGTGTGTGTGTGTGTGTGTGTATGTGTTTGTCTGTGAGCAGAGTACTTGTAGAATAGAAGAAAGAAGGTGCAGAGTACTTGTAGAATAGAAGAAAGAAGGTGCAGAGTACTTGTAGAATAGGAGAAAGAAGGAGTAGAGTACTTCTAGTATAGGGGAAAGAAGGAGTAGAGTACTTCTAGTATAGGGGAAAGAAGGAGTAGAGTACTTCTAGTATAGGGGAAAGAAGGAGTAGAGTACTTCTAGTATAGAGGAAAGAAGGAGTAGAGTACTTGTAAAAAAGGAGAAGGAAAGAAAAGGAAAAGGAGAGAATTGTTGTTGACTAATAATAGTAAGTGGGCTACCTAGCTCAGCCTTCCTATTGGCCATTGCTATAAGGAAGGTTAAAAAATAGAAAAAAGGGGAAAAAGGTGGGAAGGGGAATTGAGGAGGGAGAGGAGGGGAGCTGACGCACAGATGAGAAATCATTTTATGAGCAAACAAAGAAGTCTTCCGATTATCACTGAAAGAGGAGACCTTCGTTTGTTCCTTATGAAAATCGAACCAGATATCAAATATTTAGTCTCGCAGCATCAACCTCTAGTAAAGGTAAGTTCAATTTACTTTATTGCTTCCTCATTAAACTTTATAAAGTTAAAAACATTATAAACATGCATAAAGTAGAAATAAAAAGATAAATGTACGTTCATTTATGTATTTTTTAAAACACCCTCCTTTCTAAAAAATATTCCGCGCTTGCGCGAAAACTGGTGGGCGGTAAGGAAATTTTTCCATCAAGAAAGATGCATTAGTGGGCGGTAAGTGGAAAAAGGTTGACTACCACTGCCCTATACCTTTGATTACAGAATTATTTGACAGGCTGAAACATGCCACTGTGTTCACTAAATTAGACCTTAGGAGTGCATACAATTTGATACGTATAAAGGAAAATCACGAATGGAAGACTGCATTCAACACTAGATCCGGTCATTACAAATATACTGTTATGCCATTTGGGCTTTGCAATGCCCCAGCAGTATTCCAAGAATTTATTAATGATGTCTTGAGAGATTTTATTCACACTTTTGTTATCGTATACTTGGACGACATTTTAATATATTCTACAGATATACACACTCATCACAGACATGTTACGACAGTTTTGAAGACCCTTCTTGCTAATGGTCTTTATTGCAAGCTAGAAAAATGTCTGTTTGACCAAACCGAAGTCCAGTTCTTGGGGTATTTGATTTCCGCTAAAGGTTTTCGTATGGATCCCCAGAAGCTAGCTGCTGTAATAGAATGGCCTCTACCGCAAGGTCTGAAAGCTATTCAGCGTTTTCTTGGGTTCTCCAATTATTATAGACGTTTTATCAAAGGTTTCTCGTCCATTGTAGCACCTATTACCCGTATGACTAAAAAGGATGGCAATACTCGTGTTTGGTCTACCGAGGCACTTCAGGCTTTTGAATTTCTTAAAACTACGTTCGCCTCTGCACCTATTTTACAGCATCCTGTCCCCTCACTGCCCTATATTCTTGAAGTTGATGCTTCGGATATTGGGGTAGGTGCTGTCTTATCCCAAAGAGAGTCGCCTGAGAAGCCATTGCATCCATGCGGCTTCTTTTCTAAACAAATGTCCAAAGCAGAGAAAAATTATGATGTGGGTAATCGCGAACTCCTTGCTATTATTTTAGCACTTAAAGAGTGGAGACATTTGTTAGAAGGAACTAAGGATCCTATCCTCATTTTTACGGATCACAAGAACCTATCCTACCTTAGCGAAGCCAAAAGATTGTCTTCCAGGCAGGCTAGGTGGTCACTATTTTTGTCCCGTTTCAATTTTATTATCACCTATAGGCCAGGTGATCGCAACACTAAAGCAGACGCTCTGTCCAGACAGTTCGAAACTACTGACAAACAGGAGATTGATGTTACTCCTGTCATTCCCCCAGACAGGATAATAGCTACTACTATTTTGTCTATTTCCTCGTCCCTCTTGCAGGCCATACAAGCGAAACAAAGCATGGCACCTAGCGAGAGGCCTAATGATAAACTGTTCGTTGATGTTCCTGAGAGACGGGATATTATGTCATTATATCATGATACTAAGACCGCTGGACATCCTGGTATTTCCAAAACGGTGTCAGCTGTTTCTCGGTATTTTTGGTGGGATTCCTTACGAAAGGATGTCACTGACTATATAAGTGCTTGTACTACTTGTGCCTGTATGAAATCCTCCCGTAGAGTTCCTTGTGGGCTGTTGCATCCGTTACCCGTTCCCGAGAGACCTTGGTCTAACCTGTCCATGGATTTTATTGTTGAATTACCCCCTTCAAATGGTAACACAGTAATCCTGATGATAGTGGATCGGTTCTCCAAAATGGCTCACTTCGTGTCTCTTCGCAAGTTGCCCACATCCAAGGAACTGGCTCATATCTTCGCTAGAGAAGTATTTCGATTACATGGGATTCCCGTATCTATTGTATCCGATAGGGGTAGCCAATTTATTTCCAGGTTCTGGAGGGCCTTTTGTTCAGAAATGGGTATTTCTCTCTCATTTTCTTCCGCTTATCATCCCCAGTCTAATGGGGCTGCTGAACGTGCCAACCAGTCTCTGGAGCAATACCTCCGTTGTTTTGTGTCTCACCATCAGGACAATTGGTCTGACCTGCTTCCTTGGGCTGAATTTGCTCGGAATAACGCCACTCATGATTCTTCCGGCAAGAGCCCTTTTTACGTTGTCTATGGCCAGCATCCCGTTGTTCTTCCGGCTGCATTCTCCTCACAGGGCATGCCAGTTCTGGATGAGCATTTGGCTGGTTTGCGTAATACTTGGGAGCAGGTTCAGCGTTCTTTGGTGGACTCTGCTACTCGCCAGAAGGCTCAGGCTGACAAGCATCGCAGAGCAGCTCCGTCCTATGTTGTGGGGGACAGGGTTTTGCTTTCCACGCGGAATATTCGTCTCCGGGTGCCTTCTATGAAATTGGCTCCCCGCTTCATTGGACCTTATCGTATTATACATAAGGTTAATCCTGTTTCTTATGCCTTAGGCCTGCCTAAGAATCTACGTATTCCTAATGTTTTTCACACCTCATTGTTGAAACCTTTCGTACGCAACCGCTATACCCGGCATACTCCTCCTCCCCCTCCTATCTCGGTGGAGGGTCATGAGGAGTTTGAAGTGTCTGCTGTTCTTGACTCTCGTTTCCTTAGGGGTCGACTTCAGTACTTGGTACATTGGAAGGGTTATGGGCCTGAGGAGCACAGTTGGATTTCGGCTGATGCTGTCCATGCTCCCCGTCTTGTGCGCTCTTTCCATTCTCGTTTTCCTGCCAGGCCTGGTCCTACCCGCCCGGGGGGCGTGTCCTCAGGGGGGGGTACTGTAGCGTTACTTACCTTAACCGGGGGCCGGTCGCGGTCCTCTCTTCAAGCCGCGCGCGGTCCTGCGGCTGCACGAGCCGCGCGCGGCTCATCCAACTGCTTTGGATGGAAGGCGGGCAGTGACCGCCGGTCACGTGTCCCGCCTGAAACTAAGAGCGCGCCGCGAGTCTCGGGCGCGCTCTTAAAGAGACAGTGGGAGCCTAATTGCCAAAAGGCTCCCATTGGCTCCTGTCATACCACACTCCCTGTACAATTACCTATAGGGGGTGTGGAAGTGACAGGAGCCAATCACTTTCGTTTTAAAGCTATTTAAACTTACCTTTTTCCCTTAGCTCGTTGCCCTATCGTGGTTTCTGTTTCAGTTCCCTTTAGCGCTTGTGGTGTTCAGTTGTGTTTTCTCGTATTGACTTTGGCTTCGTATTCTGACTTCGTTTTCGCTTTATCCTTATCTGTACTGTTTGCCGGCTTGCTGTTTTCCGTGTACCAGACCCCGGCTTGTCCTAGTTTACGCTGTCTCTCTGTGCCCTTGACCTCGGTTTGTTCCTGGCTCTGTCTCCTCTCATATACGTCGAGTCCGGCCATTCTAAGGTCCGGTAGACGTATCTCTCCTCTGTATTTGCCTCTGTTTAGCTGGATCCTGCGTGTAGGGGTATATTCTCGTTACAGGTGGACCCAATATTCAATATTCAATATTCAAATTATTTTTTTTCTTCCGTCATCCTTCCTCTCCAAATTGTTCCCTCTTTTTGCAACTAAATTATTATAATTAATTAGTCACCAGCAGTTAATACAGTATTTCGTTCCTCAAAATTTAGGGAGTTGAGCCATATCGAAACCCTCTCTGGTGTATCAAAACTTTCCAATTTCCCTTTGCAACTTATTCTCAAAGTTAAATCAAAGCCCAATTTCATGTTGTATTTACTCCAGGTGTACAACATTGTTGCAAAACCATGTCCTAATTTGAAAGGAAAGGTCTTGATATATACAGATATCTTAGAATTTGTTATCCGTTGATGGGTTTTCTCTCATCAATTTTAGAATTCTATCTTTCATCTGAAAAAATGTGGAAATTCACTTTGGCAAAGAGTCTGGGACTGTTTCGGGTTTATAGACCCAATGATATAGTTTTAGCATACATCCATGATCAGTTAAATCTGGGATATATGCTTAAAAAAATCCCATAGAAATTTCCACAGGGCCTCTTATGTAATGTTTTCAGGAATATTACAAATGCGTATGTTTGTTCATCGAGAGCGATCCACCAGATCATTCAACCTGGATTCAAATATAATAATTTTCTGGGACATATTGGTGATGTCTTTAGTACAGTCCTGTGGGTAAGTTTTATATCCTAATTGCTTCTATTTATATGTGTGTGAGAGTGGTTATAAACATTGTAGTATTTCAAGAAGCGTAAGAATTCCACAACCAGCAGACCATCGACATTTAAGTTGACACTGTAGCAGAGTCCTAGTTCTAGCAGGGACTTCTCTCTGCTATATCCCCCAAAGTATACTCAGGAACAAGAAAAACGCCAAAAAAATATCCCACCTCCTCCCCAGCAACTGGACAACACACAGCTCTGGGAGTACAACTGGTTTAATTCCTGTCACACACGGCTTTTATACATTGCCCCTAGCATGAGGTTTCTCAGTCACAATTACAGGGCTTTTCTTCCAAGGATCCTCTGTGCCTGAGAGATAATTGCGTGAGAAAAAACTATAACTTAATTATCTCTCAGGTACAAAAAAATCTACAATATTTTAAAACACCCCAAAAATCCATTTTAATAACTTCAGAACCCTACAAAAGTCATATCACAAAATAGCTTGGATCTTAAAGCACACTTTGCTAAAATATCAGATCCCTTTGTTGGTTTGGGAATGCCATTCTAATGAAGTTTTGACCGGTCAGCCATAATGTGTTGCCCCAAAACAGTTCCAGA